GGGGGGGGAAGCCATTGCATTTTGTCTTTTCCAAACACAAATGGAGGTCATTTCCTGCAACTTCAGTTCTACATTTTCTGTACAACTGCAGATGTATAAGGCAGTAGAAAGGTTCAAGATCTGTACTTAATTATCCTCATGTTCAAAAAAAATTGTACCCTTAATTTTGAAAAAATTGGGCATAGGTTCCCCGGATGACCCCTAACCGGGGGCCAACGGTGCTTCCACAAGTTCAACAAGTGAAAAATACATGATACAAAATGTACATGTATTTACTACCTGGAACTTGGAGCAATTTATTCCAAAGATGTTAACTGCACATATATTAAAAACTAAACCAAATCCTATTTCTCAAACAAATCACATATTGACACAGCTGAACAAATAAAAATGTGATCATGTTTATAAACTCCACTCAAAAACAATTTTTGAGAGACACTCGGGTCACGGTACTAAGCGTGATAATCTCTAATATCTCATCTGATTCTCCCAATATGTAAAGGGTCTTTACAATGACAGCATCCAACCGCACATACATAGAAACAACAATATTACACAAGAAACCAATTAATTCGGAAAATTTCTCAGTAATGTTTGAAAATTAACCTTACTAAAATATAACTGAATTTTTATTTCAGTTGTAGCCGAAAAAATATTTTTCATGCGTTTAAAGTATCGTTTTAGCACTGTAATATGTACTTATTACATGTATCTATACATTTGCATGCTATCTTGACCTTTGACCATTGTTATTGTGAAAACAGGTCGGCCATGTTGTCTTTCTCGCCGTGAATTTTCGAGCCGTTTTTTCGAGCAAATTTCAACCGTTTTAAACATTTTACGGCCTCAAAAACTCATATAACGAGGAAAACAAGTTGTAGTTGTTATTTTCATGCGTAACATTTCTTCTGGGGATGGATTATTTTTCCGTCGAGCTGCCGAAAACTTAGCGCCATGCTGCAACCATGCGATCGGGCGCGGCCGGCCGGCGGGAGTTTTACTTTGTATCGGTGAGCTTTCGCGATGTAAACAAAGACAGTCGGAGTTGTTTACATGAAAATTTTGTTGTGAAACGCCAGCGGGGTGTCAGATTTTCTACCAATGACAACGTTTTCTTTGTGGCGTCATGGCGAGATCGACAATTCATCGTCAATTCACAGGATTGTGCCGACAATGGAATTGAATAGCGGCCCGATCCGTGCAATTAGCGCTCGATCCACGCCGCCCGACCGAAGAAAATTGGAATGACGAGTACATTTATCGGGGATAAAATCCCCAATTTTGAAAACCGACCGCTAGCCGCTCGAAATTTTTGGTCGGCCCAAAAAAGGCTAGGGTCGGGGGGTTTTTCATAGGGTCGGTCGGGTAACCGGAAACACAACATTTTTTTTCCTAGGCCTAGGGCATGGTGTATCACTGTATGTACATATTATTGCCTAGCCGGCCTTTGACTGATTGCCAAGATTGGTACTTCACTTGTTTTAAGGGACTTAGAATCTGTAAACATCATGGCCTTGCCCTTCTAACAGCCTTTAGCAGCACTATCAAATGCCGGATTCAAGTGTGTCTGTCTGAGGAAAATAATGCTACATTTAGTTTACAGAAAAGTTTGATAAATGCATGATGTCAAGTTTTGTTTTCTATCAATTTCTTATATATATATATTTTTTTTTAAATTCCAGACCTTGACACCTTTGGGAAGGTGAAACGTGTGGTGGTGAATGCCACAAAGATCGCCCTGCTGATCCTGACCATGTACCTGTTCATCTGTTCCCTGGACTTCCTGAGCTCTGCCTTCCGTTTGCTCGGCGGCAAGGCCGCGGGAAAGGCGTTCTCCGACAACGCTCTGCTGCAGAACCCCATCGCCGGCCTGATGATCGGTGTCCTGGCTACTGTTCTGGTCCAGAGCTCCAGCACGTCCACATCCATTGTTGTCACCATGGTCGCCTCCGGACGTAAGTACAATCAACATGTTCACACTAAAATTCTTGCCAAACAGTGCTTTATCCTGCACTATTTAGAGGCAGTTAGTCTTTATATTCTATAAGCAGGAATCCATGATTTTGAAATCACTGCTCCCTAGCACAGCCAACATGAATACTAGTAATGAACATATAAAGAAATAAATCTTTTGGATTTGTTGAAACAATGCAGATTTGTTGAAACACTGTAGTTAGAGCATGAATGTTTGTGTTGTACAGTTCTTGACGTGAGGCCGGCCATTCCCATCATCATGGGTGCCAACATCGGGACGTCCGTCACCAACACCATCGTGTCCATGGCCCAGGCCTCGGAGCGCAACGAGTTCCGCCGTGCCTTCGGCGGGGCCACCGTCCACGACATGTTCAACTGGCTGACCGTGCTGGTCTTCCTCCCCATCGAGGTGGCCACTGGTTACCTGTACCACCTCTCCCACTACATCGTGAAGAGCTTCAACCTTGAGACCAAAGACATGAAGCAGGAGTTCCTCAAGGTCCTCACCAAGCCCTTCACCAAACTTGTGATTCAGGTAATCACATTCCCTTGTTAGTCTTGAAGGTAGGTGTCATGTTCCTAAACTTGAGTCTACGTCTGTGAATTGGAAAAGAATCATTTGACAAATCAAAGCCCATTCTTGCTCAGAGGTGGGTAGTTGTTCCCAGTGTCCTATGTGCTTGTCTTTCTTTTTTAGTTCTAAGACATTGTTCACAACTGCCCTTTCTGAGCAAGAATGAGTTGATTCATTACATACTAGCAAAATGCCTTTGACTCCATGATTTGCCTCTGGTAAGGGGTAAAACTTATATAGTTTTGGTTACATTACAATGTGTACAAGTATAATTCTACACTAACTGTAAAGCCAGTACTACTTGTCAATGTATGTAGGATTGTGTCTGAAAAATTCTCTTTTGGAAAACGTATTATTGCACTCCATCAATGTAGCTAATTATTCCAAGATGATTTGTTTTGTGGAGTGCTGAATGTATTGCCATCCTAGCAGAGAGATGGCATTGTGTAGGTTTGCAGTAGCACCTGCCTCCTTTCCATGGTCAGATATGAAGGTGCTTGGAAAGGGTTAGATCAGTGATGTAACAGCACCACTATGTGGCCAAGAGTGGGTGCTGAGAGTTGAGTGTAAGTACCAGTGTACTTACTCTGTTTGCTGTGACCCTGGGAGTTGTGTAAACTAGGGCTCTTGTAAGTTTGTTTTACTCTGTAGTGATGACCGGTTTGTTGGCACTGACTAAACATGTTGCTGACCTAGGGATAACTAACTTCTATCACATGTGCAGCACTTGTAGGCTTACACAAGTACTTATGAGTCTTTCCTTTGTTCCTCCCCCTCCCTGTTCCACCACAGATTGACAAGAAGGTGATTTCCAAGATTGCCACAGGCGACGAGAAGGCCTACGAGAAGAGCCTGATCAAGGAGTGGTGCGAGAAGGAGCAGAACCTGGTCACCAAGAACGTCACCCAGCTGATGAACGTCACCGTGCTGGAGAACGGCGTCAACGTCACGCGGGAGATGAACGTGACGCGGGAGATCGAAGAGGAAGTCACCGTGAACATCAAGAAATGTAAGCGTGCCGGCTTTTACTTAAAAGAGTTGCCAGAGTTTCAACAGGATGTTACCTTTGATGATTATCAAGATTATTGATCCATCATGTCAACAAAGCCTTGTATGCAATGGTAGAGTACCAAGCTGTGTTTATCAGGGATAGACTGTTGGAGTATTGTGGGGAAAGTATTAGAACAGTTCCTCAAGTGATTATCTTAATCCAGTGCAGTGAAAACAGATATTACCAGCGTTTTTGTTGTTTCTTCTTTTTCAATTGTATCTTACTATGTTTCTTCTTGTGCTTCCACAGGTTCGTTCCTGTTCCAAGACACTGGTCTGAACGACACTGCAGTGGGTATCATCCTCCTGGTGGTGGCCCTCATCATGCTCTGCGTCTGCCTCGTCACCATTGTCAAGATCCTCAACTCCATGCTGCGCGGGCGCGTTGCCAAGATCGTGAAGAAGACCATCAACGCGGAGTTCCCCGGGAAGCTGTCGTTCCTAGCGGGTTACCTGGCCATCCTGGTCGGCGCGGGCCTGACCATCCTGGTGCAGAGCAGCTCCATCTTCACCTCCACCATGACCCCGCTGGTCGGGATTGGCGTCATCAGCATCGAGCGCATGTACCCCCTCACCCTGGGCTCCAACATCGGTACCACCACCACCGGCCTGCTGGCTGCCTTCGCCAACTCCGGCGCCAAGCTCGAGAAGGGCCTACAGATCGCCATCTGCCACTTGTTCTTCAACCTCAGCGGTATCATGGTCTTCTACCCCCTTCCCTTCCTACGTTTCCCTATCAAGATGGCAAAATGGTTGGGTAACACCACAGCCGATTACCGTTGGTTCGCCGTCCTGTACCTTGTTCTCATGTTCTTTGTCTTCCCTGCTCTTGTGTTTGGGCTGTCCCTGGCTGGCTGGCAGTACCTGGCTGCGATAGGAGGCCCCCTGGCCTTTCTGGTTGTTGTAATTGTTGTCATTAACGTACTTCAGCACAAGTATCCAAAGGTTCTGCCAGCCAAGCTGAAGAACTGGGAGTGGCTGCCCCTGTGGATGCGCTCCCTACAGCCACTCGATAACTTAATCACAAAAATGCTTGCTGTCTTCCGCTGCTGTAAAAAGAGCAGTACAGAACAGCATGTTATGTACTTTCCTGTCCAAGTAGATGTGTCAAAATTCTTGCATAAAGTTGACTCTAAAGAGACAGTGTTGTAGCACAAGCTGTGATTATTGTATAATAACGCACAGGAGTTTGTAAATAGTTCTCATTCTTTGACTTAGATTGTTAATTTATTGTAAGTTTTGGTTGCAGTGTTTTGCAACTTGATAATGCAATGCCTTTTTGGGCCATTGTTATACCAGCTGCTAGGTATCTAAGTGACCAAATTGAAACCTACCACGCTTGTACAGATGTCAACACCAAATTAAGTTAAGTGTTATATTGAACTGTAGCAGTACAGTAACTTGCGTGGTGTGGTTTACTTGCCTAGTCAGTGGTGCCAAAGTTTTGTACAGTACGCAGAGTTTGTACCTATTGTACCTATATTTTGCCTGCTTGGACCTTTCCACAAGCTCTGTAAATGTATATAATGTATGATGGAAGACAGGGATATTGGATATTGAGCATTTCTGCATGTCTTGAAGTTGCAAACCTTGTACAGTGGATTTGCTGTGTCCATTCCACCCAAGATAGGAACACCTTTGACGTACAGTACCTCTAAGGTAAAAATGTCTCAAAATTTTAATTGTTGCTTTTGGGGAACATTGTGAATTGTATGGCAGGGTTAATTAGTTGGAAATCCGAGTTTCTCGATTTCGAAGTCCGTCCTACGATTGGAGCTCGGAACTCCTTCATTACAGGGACCTCTATGTCAAAGAACCCACCACACTTCTCCACCAAAATAAGAAGGGTATCAGTATTCAAATCAGTATGTCGAATATACAGCTTGTACTTTACCATAATACATCACTTGTGTGGTCCAATGGTATATAAACTACAAGAACTGGCTTGTACTGAAATATCTGGCTATTATGTGTTCGTATCTGGGATTTTTTAATAATGCACATATCATTTTTGTTTTGTACCGCAAAGTTTTAAAAAGGAAAAAAAGATTATTTATTTGTATTAAAGTGCCGTATTGAAGTTGATGTTATCAGGGAACAATGAAGAGATGTTCTATGTAACTTAAAAGGAAAAAAAAATATACCAAAATGGAACAATAAACTGGCTTGAGTGTCATTTTCTTTGAGTTGTATGTGCTGGTGTCTAGAGTAGATTTGGTTATTTCCAGCTGGATGGAAAACTTAGCCTAGGCAAGTTGTCATCTTCATTGCATACTAGTATTTTACAGAGTAAAAACTGTTTAAACACAAAATGGTGCACTACAAACTTATTTTTAAGTTGTACATTAGAAAAACTTAAGATCGATGCATCGCTGGAAAAAAATCTGGAGGTGTTTTTCAGACCGGGTGTGTCTCATGTTATTGTTTGCACTATCAAGGTTCAGTGACATGGATGAAACAGTAGAAAAGCAGAAAATATTTATTTTGGTTTTTTGGTCATCAGATGTGGAGAGAAGGCCTGAGCTTGGTCAAAATAGATCAATCGCCGAATCGGCCTTTGATACTCAAATAGAATCTCCTTGCATAGACATAGACTTGTCATTGCTACCGTAGCACTGAAGCTCCACCCAGCAGTTTGCTTCAGCAGGACAGTCAACTTAAACTTGAACCCACCTTTCTTCAACATCATTAAATACCATTCCAGAGGGAGTTCGGCCACATCTGTTCTGACTTGCTACACTGTAGCTTTGAAGATGAGCAGACGCTCAAAGTATAGAATATTGTATGGTATACACTCACCTGCAGGCAAATGGTTAATTTTGTTAAGAGGATTTCAGATTTGGAGGATAAGACACCACTTAAATGTAGTACAGCAATGCTAGACTCGTAGGCATAGTTCTTAAAGAAATGCAGCGTCAATATACTAGTATTCATTTTAGTACAGTATCTTGGTAAATTTTCATTCTGTAAACCAATAGCACTCTTGTCTTAATTGATACTCTTCATTTCAATTTTACCAATTCTAGATAATGCCAAATATGGGCCCCTTATTGTTTGCGGCATATTTTTCAAAAGTTTTTTCTTGCGCTCTCAAAGCAGATTTTAGTGAAATGTATCTGATCCATAAAAATTATTTATTTTGGCCCCACCACTTTCCAAATTGTTGGGTCAGAGGTCGTGAGTATTTCCCACTATCCCCTGCGGTTCGCTATGGCGGACGGAGCTGACGATTTGGTGGAGACGGGAGCTCTGTTCATGGAAGTTTCACCAGACGAAGATCCGGCCGAGGGAAGAGAGAGGAAAGCAAAAGTAAAACAAAGCCACCCAGAGGAAGACAAGGCAAGTTTTCTCAGCGCTTTCTCGGAGATGTAATGATTCTGGGCCGGAGAAATTTAACGCGAATTTGATGGGTTTTCCAGGGGAGGGGGGCGTCTGCTCTCCCAGTTTGGTCGTCATTTATCAAAACAACCGGAGACACCGTCATAATTAATGATTTCTCGGACAAATTTACAAATGCAAACTCAGATACGTAAGACAAAGAATGCATGATTTGTTAGTGATAGAAATCCAATGTTTAGATCCGACTGGACGACGTATTATCGCGCTTTATTTAGATTGTTTAGTAGAACTTTCAAACATATTTTCCTGTCTTTGAAACGACATATTTTACCTTCTTTGAAAAAGTGGACTGATGTGTCATCGACTACTTTTGCGCCATCGACTGCTTTTGTGATTTTACTGAGGAAATCAACATGTTGTTTTGTTTGGTAGAATTAAGCTTTTTTCACAAATGTTTTTCTGTAAGAAGAAAACTGCAAAGTTATGACAGGTGATGGCTTTTACGACTTAATTGGTCCTCAAGTCTCAGAATAGAACCTTTCAATGGATTTGTGTTCATTTAAATGAACTTTGTTCCGACACAAAATTTCTATCGCCACTGTTGGAATGGAATGGCTGTCAGTGCTGACTGCTATAAAGAAATTTTATTTGAAAAGTTGAACATCAATAAAATATTTGCTTACAAACTTGTTACTTCAGCCTTGTTGGATAGTTTTGACAGGTAAATAGCCTAACATAGAAAGACAATGTAAATAAACTGTCCCATATCATAGAATGGTTCCATAGGTTTTTAATAAGTAAAAGCTGCACTGGTTAAAGGAACTGCTGAGTTACACTGTTACAAAACCATTGATCATGAGATGACTTTTTAATTGTTAATGTTATATCATGCAGCAAATTATTGTAATAATGTTGTAATCCCCATACCTCTCTTGGTAGAAATTGTATTCTTGCCACAATCTAAGAAAGAAATTTTTCTTAAGTTGACAATGGTTTGTTGTTATTTTTTCTTCAGGCCATTGAGCTTGGCATCAAGTCGGAGCATCGTGGTCGACCTCTAGGCAGCTACAAGTCCAACCCTAAACATGACAGAAAGCCCAGAATTGTGCGTGACAAGGGTGTCCTGAAGAGATGTCAGAATTGGCCCTGTACTGTGAAGGAGGTAGGCAAGTTATCTTCTTAAGTAAAGCTATCCATACGTTAGTTTCAGGTAAAAAGGCATCTGTGAACTTTGTAGTTGTTGTGCAAGGTGTCCAGCAGCAGACATATGGATATTACCAATTCCCTTAACTTTGAGTTTTTTGTTCCAGGTGGCAGAAATAGGGCTTGTGTTTGCCTGCAACATGTGTGATCGCCAGTACACCTCGCCTGGAGGCTTCCGATATCACGTCAAGACAGTCCACAAAATTGAGGTACAGTATCTTGGAGATAAGATGCGCCTATTCAGGCAGTTTTCTCATCTAGCCATGTATAGCTTGAGTCCTTTCATACCCATCACTTTGGCAAGTTGGAACAAACACATGCGAAAAAGGCTGGTCTTAAGACTAGTTTTCTTGTTTGTTGTCTTTTTTAAAATGAATGGGTCCCCATACATAGCATACTGGGTTTTTACTACTGGTAGTAGCTACACAACCAAAACCAAAAGGATTTCATCTGACAACATTTCTTTAACCACTCAGCTACCTTTCTCATATCAGGGCTTAAGCTGTCCTGTTGAATTATTCCTCCCCAGGAACTAGACAATATTCAGGTGCGTGGACCCAGGCGGCCAAAAGTCAACACCACACAAATGTTCAACAAAGCCAGAAGGGGGAAGAAAGTCCCCAGTAACAGCCAGGTCCTGGGTCAGCAGGTAGATCTTGCAGAAGAGGTGAGTGTGAAACATTCCTTCATCAAGCTGTGCAGTTAGACAGTAATTCATGCTACTTTCTTAGCTAAGACTATTCAAAGCTGCAATGTTGTGGTGCAGAATCTTAAATACATGAGGTTTTCATTAACATGTTTTATTTTTACCTTCACAGAAGAAAAAAATATTGTTTTTGCTATGTTTCTGCCTCTTCTTCTTCTCTAAACAAATTAAGTCAATGACCTGGACCAGACGTCTGTCACCACGGTAACTGGCACTGTAGCAGACACCCTATGGTGTTGGATTACATTTTGTAGTACATTTTGTAGGAGAAAGATGGAGGGGCTGCTTACCATACATGTATACATGTATAGTATATGAATGTGTTTAAGTAACAATAAGCAGAGAAATAGTTTGTTCAACTATATATAGAACATGTGAAGGTAAACACTATGCATTTGCTTTGCAATTGTTACCTTTCTGGTTGTCCTTGTTTCTGCAGAATGAACAGGATGAGCCTGAGGATCTGACCATGGCATAAACCCCACCACAGCCACACCAGACGTGTTAGTTAAGGAAGATTATAGATTAGTTTTTCTACCAGGACAGATGGAAACTATCACTACACAATTGTCAAGCACTATATTTATGAGAATCGGACATTCAGCATGTAATCTAGCTTGCATTGTTCAGCAAATGTGTATGTATTCAGGATGGGTTAAACAGGTTTTTGTATGGAGTCAGTTTAAGGAAATCAGAATGTGCATGTATAAAGCTTCAAGATTTTCACTATGAAAAGAGGTGAGGGTATTTCAGGCTGTCTAGAAGTCTAGAGTAAAACAAGGCTTTTAAATGTGTTACCATGTTTGTGTGAAAACATGTGTAGCAGAAGTATTCTCTTAAAACCGCTTTCAGTGTTTAGAAAACCCATTTAGTAATATCTAAATCAGTGAAAACATGACTTACAGGGTACCATTTTGCCCTAAAATCATGGAAAGCATTGAACTTCTCTATGCTGTATCTTGTCTGCTGTCCAAAATCTGTACAACATCTACGTTGTATTTTACTCTATGACTCGACCAATATTACACGACGTAATACAATAAGAAAATCATGTTAAAGATTTGAATCAAAAGCATTTCTAATAAGAACTAATCTTGCATTGGTAAATCATATGTACTTCAAGGCAATCAAATTAATTTTACTACTTTGGTCTGTAGACATATATTCCAAGGTTAAAAACACTCAAAGAATAAAGAAAGATTTTATAGTATTTACTATATTATAATACACATATATATGGGTACGGCAATGCCTTGGAAGCTTGTCTAAATTGGATGCAATGAACACATTTTTTAGAAGAGTAGGATAAGTTAATATGAAGCTTTGTATATTGCTTCTCCATACTGTGAATATCTCTAGTAGGCAATAATAAGGTGCTGTTCAGTGTTATTCAGTAAGTTAGTTAAGAATGTTAAAAAAAAGATAATCCTAGATATATTTTAATGATGCACATGACTCGTTATTTTAGTAGTTTCTGCATTACATTTTAGATAATCAGCTGTACTAACTTATTTATTTACTGTATAACCTCATGATAAAGTATATTCTTACTGTTTCATTGTTACATTTTGACATTATGTAGTCTTTGTATGTTTTATATAATCATGTGAAAAACACAGTGTGCGAATCCTCAACTTTTGTTTACAGCTGTGGTGTAACAGTGGACAAAGCTGTCTCAAGTTCTCAAAGCATCTTAAGGTGTTTTATTTCTGTAATCTGTGATATAGATTGAAGTTTTATGTACTGTGAGACTGAAGACTTACATGTGATACACATGACAGCACTGTCCCTGCTTTGTTGTTAAGTTGTCACACTATGAGTTTTTTGTTTAAATACATCATTGCAGTGTATGCAGAGGCCCCTCTGGTGCTCAAAAGGAAAGTTTGAATGATATGAGATTTGCTAAAGACTGCCAGTTATAAGTCACATAGTCTATTCCAGTATTTTAGAAAATCATGTTTTTATTTGCAGTTTTACAACTTTTTAATGTCATTATTGTGTAACTTTAGATTTGTGGCATGTACTAAAGGGTGTATAGAAAGCATGGAGGGTGGATTATACAGAAAGGTTAACACTTTAGTGGTTAACAAGTAGAGATAGTAAATTGATATCATGAACATGTCATGTCTACAGGCACAGCATACTGTTCGATGTTTGACTGCTATAATTTCAATATTTTAGTCATGTGTCTGGTCAAGCAAAATCTTGCCCAGTTGAGGCATAAGATTGGGAATGATGCAGCCATTGTAGCTCAAGGATAGTTGCCTTGTAATATGTGCACTAGTCTCCGTTTTTGTGGGGCGGTCAACTTTGTCATTTTGCTTAACTTGGAAGGGCTGCATGTGCTCCAAAACATGTCTGTTACAATAAGGTTCAGACAGTAATTTTTGTATGTCAGCAGTTTTCCTGTGCATGTATGTTCTTCTGCTACTCTTTGTATTACAATGTTTGCAATCAGGACACAACTTCAAAGTATAATTATTTTGAAAAGCTTGTTCAACATTTGTGAGCTGTTGATTGATGCATGAGAAAAACTATGACCTTACAATTGGTGCTTTCACTTCATCACTGTACCATATCAACTATTTTACATTTGTGGTATGTAAGATTTAGCATTAGAAGGTTGGCTGATGTAAGACAAAAAGGGAAAGGCTGTAGGTAGAAAGTGAATTGTCACTTTTTAAGAAGTTTGTGTAACTACTGTTCCAATATTCTCGACACATACAACAAATGATTCTCTATCCATTGAAATTGTGGTTGTAAGTTTTCTTCTTGATCAGGCTTCTCCTCTATACATATTACATCATTCTTTTATTGTTGAGTTGATGCTAGCCTCTACCAGGCTTCGGGAGGCTGTTGGAAAGAGTAGTAATCGTTGAAATAGATAGATAACATGCCAGGTGAGTTGATCCTGTAGAGAGACCTGTTTGCTGCACCCGAAGCCTGGTAGAGGCTAAGTAGTTTAATACAAGAGAATGTATAACAGATATTTCCTTCTCATGCATTGTTCACACACTGAAAAAAGAGAAAGAGGCAGTCTACAATGGAAACGGATCCAAGGAGCCCTTTAATGCAATGTGGTTTGTAGCCATTCACAAGACAGAAACATTTACAATACACTGAAACTGATGTCCCCAAAGCAGCTACCAAAATCTTATCATATATCCCCATTGAGTAAATGTATGGATTTTGTTTTTCTCTTGGACGATGACTTCACGTCCTGTTTCTTCCACCTCAAATTGACAGTCTACAGTTTGATTGTTCTTGCAGGGTACACTCTTCTTATTTTTAAGTCATCCTGACCAGCTAGCTAGGTTACCAGGATAAACGTAACATTTTAACTGTAAAACAGAACAAACGTACTAAAAAATAAAACAGCAAGAAATGTAATTTCCTTATGATATATATATGCCTTATTTGCCTAGTAACAAGGATAGGACCAGCTGATGTAAAATATGCTAGCAGTGATCTTGCTAATAATTAAAATAATGACTTTTTTTTGGCCATACATACCAATGCTCAAGATTATGTTTTCATACTTCAAGCACAGATCTTGAGTCAGTAGCTCAGACCACACTTCCCTTTGCTTCAGCACATTAAGACACTTGCAGGATATATCTCTATAACGTTACATACAAAAAGTAAAGAAGTCATCCTTTTATATTAAGGTACCTTTTATAAGGTACATGATCTACCAGTGTTATGATCTGAATATAGAACTTAAAGATATTGGCTCGGTTAAAATAGGATCAATGATTATCTCCACATTTACTGTGGTGCTCTAGAATGATAACATTTTGTGTTTCTACCTTTTGTTATATTTATTAAGCAATACATAATTCAGTGCATGGTACGTCTCTGAAATAAACATCTGGTTCGGCAAACATTCAGACCCATCACAAGTGTTTGCTGGTGTACATGTACAAGAGACAAGTGATGATATTGGTAAAGCCACAGCCTTTAACTATTTGCTGGCATCACAAGGCTTTTCAAGCACAATAATTGGAATGATTTGACTGCTAATTTCACATCTAATGTGAACAGTTTACAGGAAAATGGCCAGTTTTCTTATGCTGTGCAGAAGGGTTTGGAAATTGTCAGTACAAATTTTGACACCTCTGCATTAGCTGTGCCACAACCCTTCTTTTTCTGCAACACACCCCTGCTTTCTCTATGCAACACACCCCTGCTTTAGCTGTGCAACACACCCCTGCTTTAGCTGTGCAACACATCCCTGCTATAGCTGTGCAACACACCCCTGCTTTAGCTATGCAACACACACCTGCTTAGCTGTGCAACACATCCCTGCTTTAGCTTGTGCAACACACCCCTGCTTTAGATGTGCAACACACCCCTGCTTTAGCTGTGTGACACACCCCTGCTTTAGCTGTGTGACACACCCCTGCTTTAGCTGTGCAACACATCCCTGCTATAGCTGTCCAACACACCCCTGCTTTAGCTGTGCAACACACACCTGCTTTAGCTGTGCAACACATCCCTGCTTTAGCTGTGCAACACACCCCTGCTTTAGCTGTGCAACACACCCCTGCTTTAGCTGTGCAACACATCCCTGCTTTAGCTGTTCAACACACCCCTGCTTTAGCTATCTAACATTCCTGTTTTACATGTAGCTGTACATGTGCATTACACAGTTTTACACTCCAGCTTTAGCTTCATAACACACCAGAGGATACAGTACAAACTGCAGACTGGAGGTCTGCAAATCGGCAGGAAGCAGCAACACCATAGCCAGTGGAAGCAGTTTAATTGCACACCATTCTGACCCCAACAAAAGCAGCACATGATATTCTGACATCTAAACGACTCCACGGACACACTAGCTGCTATTCTGCTTCTTGCTGGAATAACGTTCGATTTGCGTCTTTGCGGTTCCGAGGATTTCGCTCAGCTTGTCTATGGGAGACTTAAAGTGAACCTCCAGCCACTCCTCCACTGTACTCGGGTCGTACACCTCTGACAGGGCACTGTCCATCTCCCTGTGAAGCTTGGTGAACTCTTCTTGGAGCCTGAAGAAAACATTAAAGAAAAACTAGATGTAGTTGAAACCTAGCCTGGTTACCAAACCTATTTAAGCTCCCAAAATCCCTCTCCCAAATATTTGCGGAGAGGATAAAGACAGAGGATAAATAGGTCCCAGGTAACCAAGGCTAGTTGATACTGAGACAAGTCCAACCAACATTCAAAAGATAGAGATGGACTAGAACTAGTAGAAGGACTCTAGTTTTTCCAATCAGTACACTAGCCTGTGTGCCATCCTCAGTAGTTTCCACCGGCTCCCTAATGTTGCTGGCTACCTGTGAAGGCAGAAACTTTGGAGGATTGCACCCGGAAGATCAGTACACATTCAGACTGAGAAAGATTTAAGACATTTGTACCTGGATGCCACATGTATGATGAACTCCAGGTGACAGGGGTTGGTGAAGTTCCTCCTCACATGGTAGTCTGTCATCCAGCCTGTGTACCTGCTTAGGGGAACAGCACATGGGAAAAAGCATGTAAAAAAGTTGCCATTGGTTGTTACCCTCTTTGCAGACTTAATATAAATGGGATCAGTATGCTCAGTAAGGTTTAAAACTTTTCTGTGGGTAGGTCTTGGGAAATGTAAGAGAATACAAAATTCTAGGAAGGATCTGTATTCAGGTGTCAATTTTTTTACTACATTGTATTATTAAACACTGCAATTACTTTTGTATCAGAGGTTCACCTGTGTTTTTTTTGGTCTTTCAGCATACTGTAACCAGTATAACTCCAGAAGTTATGAATGGATTATGATCAAGTATTTGGTATGTGTGTAGCTTTTTGGAAAGATGAAAGTCGAGGTTGATCTTTGGCCTCCTAGTGGCTTCCCTGAAACCGACTTAAAACTAACCTGTCTCCATTGAGGAAGTCTATGTAGTCAGCATCCAGGTTGACCAGGACATGCACAGCCTGGAACACCTTCCCACCGGGGAATCTGCCTTCCCTCGCTATGGTCTTAATTCTGAAAGTACCAGCAGGTAGCATTTCTTTAAGTCAGTTGTACAGGACACGGTAGAGAGGATATAACAAGGGTAATAAGTTGATCTGTAAAGTACATAAAAAAGTCGAAACATTCCACAGGGAAGTTTGATGCATGTACTTTAGATCAACATATTACTTGAATCATCGACTCCCGAAGACGGTTGACAGAAGAGCAACCAAAAGTTTGAGGTGAGCTGTCCTTACTGTGTTTATCTTAAGTACTGTATAAAACTTTAATATGGAATCTACCAACACAGATGAGCTTTAAAGCTATTACAAAAATTCATATTTCAACTAAGTAACCAAACTCCAGTCCTATTCATTGTATTTGTAAATCACTGAGCTACATTGTAATGGCTGAAAGTGGTGACAACTACAGAATCCTAAAATTGTGATCTGTGTGATTGTGAGATGATATTGTACAGACTGACTTGGGCACAATCTGGACCTGGAGAGTTTGGGAAAAGCCCAGCTCCTCGGACACCTTCCTGTGGAAGTCACAGTCCTCTGTGAAGCCACCTGACAAAAAAAGAAGAATTCCTGAATTATAACAAGCTACAAAGCATTTGTCTCAAACTTTCATGACTTAGAAAATGTTGTATAGCCTTACAACCTCTTTCAGAAAACTTGTGACATTATGTTGAGACAAGCTTTCAGACAAGATTTCCCTACAAGTTTGGGCAGCCTTAAATGTATTTTTACTATCACTGTCTAGTTGGACTCAAAACATCATTGAAACTGAACCCACCATGTACGACTGTCTGCAGACAGAGTGCAAGGCTGGGTATGGCAGCTGGCAGCAGCTCACAATGTGTGGCGTAGTGGTCATATCTGCAAGGAGAGAGGAAAATACAATATTTTGTCATGTCTTGGCATCTAAAAGACAGTCCCGGTAACTTTGAAATAAATATACTTGAATGTGTACATAGACTCCTCAGTCTAGCAAATTTAATTCTTACTTAATTTTATGGATGACAATCATTCTCTGACGACCCACAAACTAGTGCCTGCGGTTGAATAAAGGAAACTTTCCAGCCCAAAATGGAAATGCTATGGTAACTATTGTGAATTTGCAGTAGTACATAGCGACTTTTAAGATAAGTAGGCACATGCTGGCCTTTTTGAGTCATCACTGTGCTGAGTTCCGGACTCTGTTGGGTTAAGGCGGCCTAGGCTGATATTCATGTTCGAGTTCGGACGTGTGTCTGCACGATTGCCACATACATGTTTCGAACCCGAATCATGTTCCATCATGTTCGATATGACGTCATTCGAACAGAACGCGTGTTCGAATTCGGGGTTACCGGCGGTCATTTGAGTCATTTGTATGTTTCCCCTGTAAACCCGCGTTGTTACGCATTTTATTCACGTAGTATGACCTAAACGGCTTTACGCGCAGCTGAAAACAGCATAATTCATCTTTAGAGTAATCCATGTTTACGTATTATCACTTTTTTATCAAATTTGTCCGAGGCTATTTTGCATATAAGTCGAAATTTTTTAACTGTGGCGATTTTTTAACGAAAAATGACAGAAAAATAGCTGTTTCTGTCGTTTTTGGCCCAAAAAAACAATGTAACTGTCATTTAAAACAAAATAGCCTCGGACAAAAATAATAAATAGGGGGTTTGCTTTCTACTTGTAAAATATCATGATGAAAGGTGTTGTTACCACTTGCGCGTAAAGCCATGAAGAAAACAGCTTTTTTTAAACCAAAATGTTGATTTTTAACCCAAAAAATTACAGAAGTAGTAAAAACAAAATAACCTTTATTCAATGTGTTTCAAGTACTACTAGAACTGTGTGAAGTTAAGTTGTGGTGCGACCAAGCTATCAAAAGTTACAGCCATATGTATGAAATACTAATCATAGTTGGCCATAGGCTGCCTTAACCCAACCGAGGATCCGCAAACCTTTGGCAGCCTGGGTGCCACCCTCCATAGTTACTGCTGGCTCCCTATTGTCACTACCTAATGGACTACAGAGGATGGTACCCAGGCCAGAGCCTTGGAGGAGGTGATTTTTTTTAGAACAGGTGAAAATCAATGCACGCACGTCATAGGTAATTTCAGGTGGATTAAAGACTTGTGTGAACTAGCACGTCGGCAGAACGTACTGCACCTGCGCGAAACCCGTAATGTATTGTACATAGCACTTCGGCAAAACGTCTCATATAAGGTTGTATTCGCTCATATAAGGTTAGCATTTCGACAGTAGTTTCCAAATGTTATGTCGGAAAGAATATCCTCTGCAACAGGCAAAATTCTGATGCAACGTTGACCAAAAACCCAACGAAAAACGCGAAAATACGGGGTTCTGCGCAGGCGCAGTACGTTCTGCCGACGTGCTGTGTGAACTGACCTGCTCCAGCCCGTGAGTGCCCAGCCCTGCACTGTGAGACTGGAGGGAATGTTTTCCAGCTGAGACAGCCACGCCATGTGGTTCTGTATGTGGTAGTTGATGGGAACA